TCTGCTCTTCCAAAGGTTCTGAGTTCAATTCCTGGCAACCACATGGTGGCTCACAATCATCTGTAATGGGGTCTGGTGCCCTCTTCTGGCCTGCAGACATACACACAGACAGAATATTGTATACATAATAAATATTAAAAAAAACCCAAAAACTTGGTTGAGGCTGGGCCGTGGTGGTGCACGCCTTTAATCCCAGCACTCGGGAGGCAGAGGCAGTCAAATTTCTGTGAGTTCGAGGCCAGTCTGGTCTACAAGAGCTAGTTCCAGGACAGGCTCCAAAGCTACAGAGAAACCCTGTCTTGAAAAACCAAAAAAAAAAAAAAAAAAAGTCAAAAAACCCCCCCAAACAAACAAACAAACAAACAAAACAAGACTTGGTTGATTTGTTTATAAACTAGGAATAAGGGGCTGGAGAGATGGCTCAGAGGTTAAGAGCACTCACTGGCTGCTCTTCCAGAGGACCTGAGTTCAATTTCCAGCACCCACATGGTGGCTCACAACCATCTGTAATGAGATCTAGTGTCCTCTTCTGGCCTGTAGGCATACAAAGGCAGAACACTGTATACATAATAAATAAATCTTTAAAAGAAATAAATAAACTATGAATAAACCACACATGGTGTTTCACACCTGTAATAACAGCTTAAGCCGGAGGATTGCCTTGAGTTTGAAGCCAATCTGTACTACATATTGAGTTCTTGTCCCAAAACAAAACAAGGAATATTTAGATGCCACCAATCTGAAGATGGCCTTTTGAACTCGGAGGCTCCAGAAAGAGGCTAAATATCTGTAGGAATTCAGGCCAGGTACTGACTGGTTCAAGGGGCAGGCATGTGGTTCACTCTGAAAAGATGCCAGAGGAAGAGGCCGCTGTGTAAGGAAGACATTAAAAGTGGAAGATCCAGGGGCATACCTGCTCAGAGTCCACGTGGGCATTGGTGGGTGGGCAAGGCTGAAGTCAGGCATTTAGCTTGATGACTGTGCTCTGTCCATCCCTTCCTCTCAACCCCACACAGGTACTACCGCGGAGCGGTAGGGGCACTCCTGGTATTTGACCTAACAAAGCACCAGACCTACGCTGTTGTGGAGCGCTGGCTAAAGGAGCTATATGACCACGCTGAAGCTACTATTGTTGTCATGCTTGTGGGGAACAAAAGTGACCTGAGCCAGGCCAGGGAGGTGCCCACCGAGGAGGCCTGCATGTTTGCTGGTGAGGGTCTGCTTCCACTCAATCCAGCTTCTCCATTACCCATACATTCGGGCTCGGAGTGGTCTATCCCCCAGGTGCTTCACTGTGTCCAGTCCCCTTGGGAACCCATGAGCCTCCCCTGCTTCCCTGCTGTGAGACTTTAGGAGACAGCATCTGGCCTCCTCTTGGTCAGTTACTAGATATAGGCCACGAGGCAAGTTCCTTCTTCACTCTCTCTGCATTCCTAGGCTTTATGTTCCTAAATGAACCTACCTATAGATTGTATAAAGGATTAGATGAGCTACTATCTACCAAGGGTTTTGCATATAGAAAAAAAAGACATAGAAAGCACTAAATAAAAGTCACTGCTGTTGCCATGATCCACAACTAATGTGTGCTTCCTTTCCTGGCAGAAAACAACGGTCTACTGTTCCTGGAGACCTCGGCACTGGACTCCACCAACGTGGAGCTGGCTTTTCAGACTGTCCTCAAAGGTGAGCCTGCCCACATTGGGTGCTCCATTTCAGGTGGGATACCCTGTCCTAGCTCCAGTCCACTGCAGGCCTCCAGCCTCCTCAGAGCCACTGGTCCCACCTCTATCCCTCCACTCATCCTAGAGTTTAAGGAAGGAACCAGAAGACCTCGTTTTCTTAGGGGGCTGAATCTGGGTTCTTTGTTTACCCAGACAAGACCAAGGTGTCAAAACTACTTCCTTCCAGCAAAAACTCTGGGGTGGCCACCTATGCTCAGAAATGGCATGGTTAGGGGGTGGAACATTAAACTTCTGGCCTGATTACTGCCCTTTGTTCTTAGAGATCTTTGCAAAGGTATCCAAGCAGAGACAGAACAGCACCCGGGCCAATGCCATCACCCTGGGCAATGCCCAAGCTGAACAGGATTCTGGCCCTGGGGAGAAGAAAGCTTGCTGCATCAGCCTCTGAATTCAGTCATGGTCAACCCTGAGTCACTGCCTTCAGCCTTCGGCCCCTCCCACCCAATAGAAGGACTTCTCTCTTCCATTGAGTCCCCCCACACACACTTCACAAGCACCAGGGCCCTCATGCCCTGCCACTTCTCTATCATCTGCCCACACCCTCACAGGCTAGGGCCCTCATGCCCTACCTCACCTCTAGCATC